GAGGGAAAACAAAATGTGGGTATTTTGGTGAAAGTTTGAAACACCCTGTGGAATATGGTAAAACAGCAAGAAATTTAAAAATCATTTTATCATCTAGATAGATCCTTTCTCGATGGTTTGTTTTTTGGTTCATCTCATTAGCTTTATTTTTGTAGGAAATATTCGCTTTTGAAGAAGACACTAACATTTTTTCGTAATTTTTACATTAAGACCATATGCCTTTGCTTTTGGGCCAAGTCAACATATCTAGTAGGTAAGTTCTGGTCCCGAAGCATAAGATTTGCTTTATTTAATCTTCTTCTTATAGTCCGTTAGTTAATATGTACGTTTCTTAAGTGCAATTCATTGTCAATTTGAAAAGCTGGCAAACGGCGGTTCCTTAGCGGTAAACTTACAATAAGTCGATCGTCTCGAAGAAGCTAGTTCTTATACGAAGGTTCCTGGACATCTAGATTGACGTCCTCATGGTTATGGTCATAATTCAAAAACCACTTAGTATACTCTATGGTATTTTTGGAACCGGAATTTTATAGCAAATTCACTGAACTAAACAAATATAGATATATATTTGACTCACCCTGTAAATCTATAAAAATATTTTTGAAATGTTAACTACCATTAAACAAATATTTTGTAAAAGGTTTTTTAGTAAAAATCTCAAATAGGAATCCTGATACAGAGCTTTTGCGGAATACGGAGCCATCTTGTATGTATGCATTTGTATATGTGTGTTTATTTAAATACCAAAGTGAAAGCAACGAATTTAAATGGGTAAACTTTGTAATATATCTTATTAAAAATACAATGCAAAAAGTTTTATAAAAATTCGTTCACAGGAAATGAATTACGAGGTTTGTATCCGATAAGGGCTTAAATGAATCCACTATAATTTTTACTTATATTTCTGAATAGGAGAATAACACTTTTAACTATTAACAGGGTGCCTATCAAAAAGTTGCCGCAACTGTCATAATAATAACTGATTTTGGAGACGATATTACGCTCATAAAATTTTTTGATCATTTATATATCAAACTAAAGCTATTTTTATTCTGTGCCTGATATTATAAGGGCGCCTATCAAAAAGTGGCCGCAAATAGGGATTCTCTTTAAAAATATTCAATACGTAAAACCTGTATGGATGCCACTGGTTGAAATAAATAATATTGTTGCCAAAAAAGGCATTTCGATGCATAGAAGACGTAAAACAAGATTAGCAACTCATTAGCCACGTAATGATATAAACGATAAAACGTAAAGATATAGAAACAAAATAGTTTATCGGTATAATATGTAGGACGGCATATGTGTATAATTTAAAATTATTTTGAAATATACAGGGTATATCGGAACTAAGATCCACACCAAAGTTATATTTTTTCTTATGGAACGCCCGCGGTATATTTTATTTTATTTTATTTGGATCCTTGGCCACAAAATAAATGTTTACAAGCTTTGGTTTTTAAGATATTTAAAGATATTTAAATAAGCATGGTATAATAAAAAAGATTGTCAACACACTCTACATTGCTTTTCATAATTAATTCTTGTGCTGATTTTTAAGTCAAAGAAATAAACTTTACTGAAAAATTTGGTTGCTTCGTTTAATGTATACAGAGTATCAAAAATTGCTGGTCTATTTTAAATATTTATTTTACATAAAAACTTATAATTTCAAATACAACACCCTGTATTTTTTTAAATAAATCGAACCAGATTCAAATGTTAATTTCAAACTATACAGGGTTGTTCACCACATACGACACGGAGTATTGTAGCTAAACGATGAGATTTTTACAAATTGTAAGTTTTGGGTTCGATGAAGGACTATTAGAGGTACAATTTAAAAATAATTTTACAAGATACAGAGTGTCCCAAATAAGTAAAAAATATCAAAGTTGTATTTTTTTAAATGGAACACCCTGTATATTATTACATTTTTAGTTTCTACGATTAAAATAAAGGTAAGGGCCTTGATAAGATTTATTATACTTAAAACTTACCGTTTTTGAAATATTTTCAATTTTGTGAAATTGCTGTAAAAATTTTAAGGCTTCATTTCTCCAAGGGTATCAAAGTTTTTAAAACTAAATATTTACTGAAGTTTATTTACTGATCAGTTATTGTGTTGCAATTATAAAAATAATACTACCTTATACAGAGTGTCTAAAAATTTATTTTAAATAATTATTAGCTTCAAACGGCAATAACTTGTTTTATTTAAATGGAACACCCTGTATATTTTACGAGAATCAGATGCACAATTTAATTGTCTATCAAATTATATTATACCATTTTTTACCTATCTCTTTAAGTTTCTGTGGAAAATACATTTTCTTGTAATTTAGAACTTATTTATCAATATACCCATGGACTATTGACATTTTAGATTATTTTTAAAGATGTACCACATTTTTAAAGAGTACAGATACTAATATGTCGATATAATTCGTTTATTTCATTAAAAAATAAAAAAAAACTGTTTAAATATTTGTTAAAGAGGACCAATTAATATGATTCCAGTATTCAAACTACATTAACTGACTGTTTGCGTTGATTAATAATAATTGCTCCAAATACTAAAAAACTGAATTTTGCATGGGCATTAGACAGTGTGATAAAAAGTAACATCTTAAAAATGATATTTCATTTTTTAATAAATGCTTATTTATAACAACAAAGGCTTTAATTTGATAACTTATTATTATATTGATTTCTGACTCAAAAATCCACATTTATTTATAATAATTTATTAGCGAACACAATTAAGTATGTCATTAATTAGTATATGGGCGGAAATAATGGTGTTATATTTAATTAATGGTATACCCTTTTATAAAGATTTAAATAGTTTTCTTTTTGCATACAAATGGGCTAGTAATATTATCGTTTTGCTAAAAACGATAATATTACTAGTCTGTACATTTTGTACATTTGTTGCTTTAAAAACAATCTAAAATGTCAATATTCCATAGATATATTGATAAATGAGGTCTAATTTAGAAGAAAATGCATTTTCTACGAAAACTTGAAGGGATAGGTAAAAAATGGTATAATACAATTTGATAGACAATTTAATTGTGCATCTGATTCTCCTAAAATATATAGGGCATTCCATTTAAATTAAAGAAGTTATTGCCGTTTGAAGCTAATAATTATTTAAAATAAATTTTTAGACACTGTGTATAAGGTACTATTATTTTTATTATTGCAACACAATAACTGATCAATAAATAAACTTCATTAAATATTTAGTATTAAAAACATTGATACCCTTGGAGAAATGAAGCTTTAAAATTTTGACTACAATTTCACAAAATTGAAAATATTTCAAAAACGGTAAAGTTTAAGTATAATAAACCTTAATCAAATTTACCTTTATTTTAATCGTAGAAACTAAAAATGTAATAATATACAGGGTGTTCCATTTAAAAAAATACAACTTTGATATTTTTTATTTATTTGGGACACTCTGTATCTTGTAAAAATATTTTTAAATTGTAGCTCTAATAGTCCTTCAACGAAACCCAAACTTACAATTTGTAAAAATCTCATCGTTTAGCTACAATACTCCGTGTCGTACGTGGTGAACAAGCCTGTATATCAAATTAAAGCTATTTTTATTCTGTGCCTGATATGATAAGGGCGCCTAATTAATAATAATTTTAAATTGTGCACATTGCCTCCCCACATATGCCCATAAAATATTTTGTTTCCAGATCTTTTCGTTTTCGTATAATTAACCGAGGCGGATGAGTTGCCCCACCCTGTATGTATAATAAATATTAGAATGATTATGAAAAAAAATAGAAAATTCTATACCATCCTGTATCTAAAAATAGTTTAGTTTACGAACTGACAATTTTTTTAATGGGTCGTAATGACATGAGCTAAATATAAAATAAATAACTGACAATGGTTTCCGTTTAAATTCTACGGAGTGGCATTTTACAAAAAAAGATTATTTTTAAATTTTTTTAGATTTCTGTTTCAGTGACGAAATGTCTATATACCCAAGATTTCTTGAAGAAATGAACCCGCCACAACCACAAAAGGTATAGGTAGACATATTATTTATGGCGAATATTTTGCGACCCCCCTCTGTAACTACATTAATTTAAAAAACTAATTTATCATCGAGAAACTAATAATTTTAGTTAAATTCCTGATCGACCTGCAAAAAGTTCGCGTGCGCTCCGATTCATTCATTGCTCCATTATATCTTTTGCGTCTGTGTTGAAAATGCCGAGCAGACCGTCCTCAATAATAAATTTCCTTTATTTCCCGCTAGTGAATTTAGTTTACTAGAAGAAAATCAATCAACTACCAGCCAACGTCTTCAGGCGATATCGTCATTTAATCCTTGCCAAATCGCGTAAATTGAAAAATTCCGTATCTAGATCTAGTTTTGCAAAATCGGAAGTTCATATTTTTCTCTTCTTTTTGTTCTTTTGAAATGTATTTCGATGTTTACATGGAACACGTGTGTAACAGGTATTTATTGAACCTTATATTTAGCCACACAATCCCAAAAATTAATCCAGCTGAATTGTCTTTTTTCGCGTAACATTAATGTAATAATCATATAATAATCCTGGTAAACATATTAAGTAGTGAAAGCATTAATTTAATTAATTCTTCGAACGTTTTAAACTCTCCTTGACACCTTTCAGGCATAACAGGTATTAATCTGAAAGAGTTAACAAATAAACACATAAAGGGACTTATATTTTTAACGTTGCTTTTGAATTTTTTGCTTAAAAGTAAATATTTATGTATTTTTAGTTGCCTAAATTTTTTACAGATTACAGAATATCATTTTTTTATAATTTTTGTATCGGTATAGTATCATTATCGTATTGGGAATATATTATATTTAAATAGTTTATATAATACAATAAAGATAACATAAATGCATATACGTGAAGTAGAAATAAACATATAAGTAAATAAGTTACGTTTTTTTTATATATGATTTTATTTTATAATTTTGTCAGTTGTCAAAGTCAGAAACCCAACATCCAACATAACCTTATTTTACTCTGAGATTGTTTTCACGCTTCTTTTGAGATGATTTAAAAAATAAAATGTTTTAAATATTTACTTTTCTAAACAATTAGTGTTTTTATTTCTTTCAAGTGTTAACTATCGAAAATGGATCCCTCTTTATTAACAGAAGAGGAGCTCTTTGCTGATATAGATAGTGAAGAAGAGCGAATTAAAAACCTGACGATTCAGGATATTGCCGAAAACGATTCATTTTCTGAAGAAAGTTACGATTATAGCGACGACGAATATTTTGGCGAAGATTGGCGTGTAAACGCCAACAATAGTTATAGTGGACGAAACAATTCAAATCAACAACAGTCCTCTAACAAAATCAGTACGTTTCAACCATCAGACAACTTGTTCAAAAAGTACTCCAATAAAATTAACGTAGAAAAGTTCGAAGTGTCGACCTTATCTAATAATGCCGTTAGTCACTTATTAATGAACGAAAAGAAAATGGACAGTGATAGGAAAAGAACTAAAGATAAACACGATAGAGCAACTGTAGAACAGGTTATGGATCCACGTACAAGAATGATTTTGTTTAAGATCCTTAACAGGGGAATTGTTGCGGAAGTGAACGGTTGCATTTCAACAGGAAAGGAAGCTAATGTGTATTTTGCCCCTTCCAAAAATGGGACAGATTACGCAATTAAAATTTATAAAACATCCATACTTGTCTTTAAAGATAGAGATAAATATGTCACGGGAGAATTTAGATTTCGACATGGCTATTGTAGAAGCAATCCTAGAAAAATGGTACGAACGTGGGCAGAAAAAGAAATGAGAAATTTGGTTAGAATGTACACTTCTGGAATAAATGTACCTGAACCAGTTTTATTACGATCCCACGTATTAGTTATGTCTTTTATTGGAAAAGATCGATGGCCAGCTCCTAAATTAAAAGATGTCGAACTAACCCAATCAAAAGCCAGAGAGCTATACAGAGATACAGTAATAATAATGTGGAAGATTTATAATAAATGCAAACTTGTCCATGCAGACTTGTCTGAGTTTAACATGTTATATCATAACGGTGAAATTTACATAATTGACGTTTCACAAAGTGTGGAGCATGATCATCCTCATGCTCTGGAATTTCTAAGAAAAGATTGTACTAACATTACGGATTTCTTTAAGAAAAAAGGTGTAGCTGTCATGGGTATTAAGGATTTGTTTGATTTTATAACAGACCCATCAATAAGCGATGATAATTTAGAAGACTGTTTGACTAAACTCTCCGAAAATGCTGCAATGAAAACTGAGTTATCATCAAATGAACAGGTATTAGGTTAAAATCAAGTAGTTCTAATTATATTTTATTTCTAATCTTTAAAGGTTGATGAGGAAGTATTTAAGCAAGCTTATATACCACAAAGGCTGACAGAAGTAATAGATTTTGAAAGAGACATTAATCAAGCTAAACAAGGTTTAGTTAATGATTTAATTTATAAAACACTAGTAGGATTAAAATCCGATTTAAGTGGTACAGTTCAACAACCGGAAATCCTTAAAATTGAAAGTGATACTGTTGAGCAGAATAATTCGTCAGATACATGTATAAGTGATGATGATAGTTCTAATGAAGATGATTTACAAGAGAAAGGAAGATTTGTGGATTCCTCAAGACCTAAACACGAAACATTAGAGGAGAAGAAAGCTAGGAAGAAGGCAGTCAAAATGGCACAGGCAGATAAAAGAAAAACCAAAGTTAAAAAATATGTTAAAAAAAGGAAAGAGAAGGCTACTAAGAAATAATTTGTTTTATTATTGATATCATATGTGATATGTGAATAATAAATCATTTTTATTTAATCAGCATAGTATTATCTATTTAACACCTAATTTTTTTAGAAAAAATTCAGCTGGATTACTATATACACTATGTCCTTGGATTGTCTTTACAGGAAGAAATACCGTCTTATTGAAATTTTTTGAGAAAAATGTTTCATAAAAAATGTTGCTTCTTCTAAAATCGTTAATCCCGTTTGTACTGTTCCAAATTTCCGTATCGTTTTAGAGAAAATTAAAAAAAAAACATGAAAATACAATTGAATTTTTTCCTGTCCTAAAAATCGATAGGCGTTTCTATGGTAATAGTCTTTCAATTTCATTCTTTGATAGATACAGGATAGATAGTTAATTATTAATTTTCATTAACGGTCATATTTGTAGCTGTTGTTAAAGTATCACATTTTCCTGTAACTATATCACCCTTTGCGGAGCATTGAACCAAATTTTGTTCTTTTTTAACGTTTAAAAACTGCAAAAAATGTGACGTTAATTAAAATTCTATCAATTAAATATTATAATCTATCAAAGAATGAAAACGAAATTATATTACGCTGGAAACGCGTTTTGATTTTTAGGACGAGAAAAATTTAATTATATTTTCATGTTTTTTTTTAATTTTATCTAAAACGGTACGGAAATTTGAAAAAGTATAAACGGGATTAACCATAGGATTTAACCCATTTTAGAACTGACAAAACTTTTTATGAAGAATGCATTTTTCTCAAAATGTCAATTAGAAAAAAGTTTTTCCTTTTGTTAAGCCCCGTTCTCAGAACTGCGTCGTGTCGACAGCGACACTGATTGACACTTCAAACGACCAATGGGAGCTGTACTAAATTTAAAATTGACAGCTGTTTGAATTTTGTACAAATCTCATTGGTCCTCTTGACGTGTCGCTGGCGACAGTCGCTGTTCTGAGAACGGGGCTTTAAGACAATCCAGGAATATATTAGACAAGGAAAGAGAGGGGACAGGTAACACGGCAGCTGAAAGTGAGGCAAGTTGTCACCACGCGAAATTCTCCAATGGCGTAACATCAGAAATTAGCTTGTACCTAGACGGTACAAAATATTATTATATATTAAAACGTAAACTAATATATCGTTCATTTTTGAGTAATGCATATACAATTTTGTATTTTAAAATATTGTAAAATTTATTTAACAGTCACAGTAGACTGATTATCTATGTAATAACATATGTTTTAAACGTGTATATACATATATACTGTATGATCGAAAAACACAGCGTCTTGTTTGTTTGGAAATGACAATTTCACAAATGAATATTAAAAATTACATTATTCATTGAATCCTTTGAATAAGAAGACTAAGGAAGGAGCATAATGCTATCCATGTATTCATGCATGGTGGGCGGAAAAGCCACCATAAAAGCTCTCTAGGGTGGGGATTCTTGACAGTTCTGTTTGACGATTCATTTGACACATTTGAATTTGATTTGAAATTTTGTGGATTTGTCAGTCTTTACGGAGCTTATTTTATGTTATTTATTATTTATTCTACTACTGATAGTTGTAAAAGTAAGGTAGTAAATCTAGATTGAAATTGTGGCAGAACTTAAATTAACAGTGACACTGTCGCGATTTATCGAAAAAGACTCTAAAATAGTTGGTTGTGTAGCGTGCGGTAGATCTCGGCAAAAATTGAGTGAAATAATGGAACAACTTTTCGCTAGTAAGTGACTATATAATATACATACGTGTAGTAAACCGATCATTTATGAAATTCACTTAAATTAACTAAATTATATATTTTTCTTGCAAGATTGTCAAAGATTAGATGTCAAAGAATTTAGATACGTTAATTTGACTTACCTGCTTCAGTAGCGTATCGGATGTTTGTGTTAATAAATACTTATTATAACTTATCTATTTTTATTAGAATAATATATTTTTATAACAATTTTAATAACTACCAACATTTATTCACAACGTAAAATAAAACAACAAATTATTGAGTCTACCCCACGTCTACCCTACATCATAGTTTTACATTTTTTAAATAAAATTAGAACGACACTGATAAACCGGAATTTAAGTCGGCCATATTTGAGGCCCATCGCGGTGTACCTAAGATTTTTGATATGCTCCTTCCTTAGTCTTCTTATTCAAAGATTGAATCCGTAAGAAAGTGTGAAGGGAATTGGCTAGATTCATTATTATACCGTATAATCGAAAAAAAAACGACGTCCAGTTGGCTTGTAAATTACGATCGATGACATTCCCCATATAAAATGACATAAAAACTATACATCGAAAAAAGACGGCGTCAGCGATGGGTATGAAATGAAGATCGCTGTTATTTTATATGTAAAATTATATGGGGAATGTCGTCGATCGTCATTTACAAGCCAACTGGACGTCGTTTTTTTTCGATCATACGGTATAATAATGAATCTAGCCAATCCCCTTCACACTTGCGTACGGATTCGATGAATAATGTAATTTTTAATATTTGTTACCTTCAAACATAAGAATATTCTAATTTTCCACAAAAAAAAATACAATTCTAGAAGCTTTGGATTATTTTATTTATTTTTAAATTTTTATTAATTACTTACTGAAACTGTTATTATACACCTAAATTAGCAAATTTTTTGAAAGAATATTTAAAAAAATATAGTAACAAGTAGCCCACCACAAGTTTGTCCACCCCCAGCATATCTTGGCAGGTAAATTTAAGTTTTATATAACAACTATATATATATAGATTTTTATCACTAGAATTTTTAATTTTTTTTATAGTTTTATAGTTTACAATTATTTTACTATTTGATAACAATACTTTATACTTACAATTTTTTACATGTAAAATATGTAAAAAAATGTTTATTGCAGAAATTGTATTTCTCTAATTATAATTCCCTACGCCACTGGAGAAATCCATGCTGAGTAGCATTATTTATAGTTTCAAACATTAATTATGATACAGGATATTGAAAATACTACTTGGAATTATTAAAAATAGTTTTGTTAGGATGTGGTACAAGACATATTAAAAGCATTTTACATATTTTTACTGCAATAATGAAAAAAATGTACATTTTATGACCACATAACAAAAGTTGTGTGTCGATTTTTACCTGTGCAATGTAATTCCAGCCACTTTTTTTTCGCTTCGGCCTTTGCAGCCATACGCTGAACATTTCACCATACTAAACAACACAGTTTATAAATTTAAAACAAAACAGTATTCACAAAAAGCATAAAAATTCGCTTGGTGTCACCTCGAAATCTTGTCACCAAAGTATGGCCGCCGATCAAATTTTGGCCTCGAAAATTTTTCACTGATGAATATGCGTGTTAGCTGTCCCCTCTCTTTCCTTGTCTAAGAAGAATATACTGTATACAGGGTGGTCCGAATTCTATTCGAGAAACTTCGGCAGCATATTGTACAGGGTGGTCGAAATTGGTTTTTAACAGAGACAATCAGATAGGTAGAGCAAAACCGACATAGATGTCATGGACTCGATTTCTGAGAAACGCTTAATGGCATAAACCGCCTGTTCATGTTTTCACTGCCAACCGAGATACGGGGTCTTTTTGAATTTTTTACCATTTGGAAAATTGCCCATAACTTTTGTGTTTCGCGGAATAATAAAATTCTGTAAAAACGTTCTTGAGGCACTTTTTTATGCAAAATCCAGTGGCGTAGTCAGTTTTTTTCTATACTTGCTCTTTTTGTCAGAAATAATAAAAAACATAATTTTTTAAATGGAAATCATAATTAGCTATGAACTTAAAAAAATGCTGGCATTTATTTCTATGAATGAGAGAAGTATTAAGGGTTTTTTATCTTTGTATCGAAGCGGGCCTTGATTTTGTGTGACCCCAATTTAATATTCTATATTATTATTTATTTGCATAATTAAAGACTTAGGTAAATGAACATTCTATATTAGTATTACCATTTACAATTAAAACGCCAGGGTTACAAATTGGAACCAACGTTAATATAAATGAAATTTCTACACCCTGTATCTTCGAAACGAAGCATTTTAGGACACAAATTAATACAAATTTTTTACCTATTTTTTTACCTGCAGAATAAACTGCCGAAGTTTCCCGAATACAATTCGGACCAGCCTGTATATTACTATATTGGTATTTTAAGCCCTGCCTACATGTAACGTTTTACCTGTGGTTTTACCTGTCAGTCTTACCTGCTCAGTTGGAACATATTGTATGTAGACGAAAAAACGCAGCAACTTTATAAGCGACTTTTGAAAATCTTATATTTTACCCACAATTTCGCAAAATAATGTATAAAATGCATAATACAAATTTACAGACAATTTATAAATTAAATATTTATAACAATTATTATTACTATTTTCACAATTAACTTTGCTTGTTTAATATTATTAAAGTTTAAACCATAAAAAATATAATTTTGCAGTAAAATTCCATGTTTTTTCGATTCAACTTCATTAAACACATTGCTGTAATATTGATAAAACCGCAGGTTTAATGTGTTACCTGACAAAAACTAAAAATATAACGTTATGTCTATGCATTCCCTTTAATCAAGTTTAAACTTTAGTTTGAATCAGCCTATAAACCAAAAACATTAAGAAATTGGGAGGTTCCAAAACGATGTACTCTAACACCAATAAATCGTACAGGAAGTACCAAAATTATAGCAAATGAAAGAGGACGTTTTCTAGTTCCGGAAATAAAAAGAGTCAAAAGAAAACCTCTATTGAATTTACCGAAGAAAATAGATGCTGATACAGGTATGAAGGACATTTAATTTCTTAAATCATTTATCGCTGTATAAAAATAATGTTTTTTAGCCCAAATATTGAACAATACATTCTCTGAAAATTCGAAGAATAAAAATGAAGTGATAAAAAATCAGCAGGAATATTCAAGCAATATTGAGGTAAAAAAAAAGACTCACCCTGTATAAACCCGATATAGAACTGTTTTGGAACGCTTTGTACCACTGCGATAAAAAAAAAGTAGTACAAGAATTAGTAGTCCCAGATAGAACTCCTGGTCTATACCCAAGCAGCATTTGGACGTTGGGACAACGTTGTGTCACGCGACCAAACGTCGGGGCGCAACGTTGGCACAACCTCGTGCCAACCCTAGTCTACACTAGTTTGGAGAAAAAATTTTGGGTCGAAACGACGTTGGATACCGACGTTGGCTAGCAGCCTAATTTAGTACAAACTGCAACGTTGTTTAAAATCCTAATTCACAGAAATACAAAACTAATATGCGTCTAAGTCGCGTTTTATCCTAAATTGGGATAATTATAGTAAAAATATTATATTTATAATTTAGTTAGAGACATATGTCAGATGGCAGTGAAGGAAAACAAAACAAAAGTATTTAAGTGTGGAGGATGTTTGAAGATCATAATTATTGAAACACTTTAACCGACTCTGTAACTCGTTACCCAAGGTAAAAAGTTAAACGCAAACAACTTTATTGATAAATGTATTGTTTCTACTTTAAAAAATACTAATGGGCCTTGAAATTAAAGAAGTTTTAAAAATTTTCTTGAATTTTTTTTTTAGTAAAATGAGAATAATTTATTCGCATTCGAAAAAATTGTTTCCGCGTATTTTTTAGGGTCAAATATTTCAAGTTAATGTATTCAAAAAGCAGGAATTGCTATTTTAAGAACGAAACATTTTCTTATTTAACAACATGGCGGCTTTAACTTTGTTGTTTTGGAGATTAAGATGGAGTAGTTCGAGTAGTCGCATACTGGACTAATAAAGTCGCAGTTCGGCCTTAACAGGTAGTATACTAGTCGCAAGATTGCCTAATTTAGTCATTCTAGAGTCTAGCTTGTGCCGCCCTCTATAATCTAAATAAACGAGGAAGTGTCGGTAATATATGTCGATGTATATTTAAATTTAGTTTTATATGTACCTTTCTTATGTCCCATTTTAATTAAGTTTTTTTTTTATAAAAACAAAAACAGCACTGAACTGTCTGACTGAACAGAACAATGAATTGAAAATTTAAGATTTAAGGTTATGGTTCAATACAGTTGCAAAAAGGTAGTGACTCTACGTCCTACCAACGTAAGAATAAGGAAATCTAAACAACGTTGGAATTAGTAAAACAGACGACGTTTGCATAACGTTGGAATAGGTCCTGAAACTGACGTCGGAAAACTCTATATTATCCAACGTTGTAACTACGTTGTCCAAATCACCTAAAGATCACTTAAGCAAAAAAGGTTACAAGACAACGTTTATTCGACGTCGCAGAAGCTTCTACTTTGCTGTAGTACTAGTCCAACGTCGGCACAACGTTATAAAAACGTTTAAATTTATTTTAATACCCAAGGTAGGGAGCTAACTATTTTTTGTAGCTAATCCAACGTTGTGTTTAGTAAACATGTGGTCGCAAGTCGTGAAAATGCTACTTGGGTAAGGATATCGAGAAGTGGATATCGTCGTCACTATGAAAACAGTACAATATGCCACCTAACTTTTTAGGCGTTACCATGAATTTGGTAATAATTGGTAGGTATACGTGGCGAAAGTATAAAAAATTTTCCTACCTTTTAAAAATGGGCAATTTTTAATATTTTATTATAGACCAGCAGATTAAATCATATTTTGTTTTACTACTCTTTTTTTATCGCAATGGTACCTATGTACTGTCAATTATAACATAATCTGTTTTGTAGGATCAAGAGAAAAATGAGATAGTTCCTTACGTTCCCGGGGATTTGACGGAAGAAAAAGATCGCTTAAATAGTCATACACAGTTAGCACAAAATCGCTTTAACGCTAACCAACGAAAACCTTCCAGCGGATACCCTAAATACAGAGATGATTTTTCTAGAATTTCTCCATTGCCCGAACCATCCCTGTCCGAACAGGTTCAGGACGTTATAGATAATACTGAGGTCATGGTGGGTACGCAATGTGAAAAAGAGAACGATCTACAAAAAAATAAATTTTTTACTCCTATCCTAAACGCTATATCGAATTTTAACCTGGCAAAAAAACTTCATAAAGAGAACTTGGAACATAACCCTTTACCCGACACTATAACCGATTCGATTTATCGCAAATTACAAATGCAAAGAAAACAAAATTGCGATCCCGGCTTAATGCTGGACGACAAGAATTTTGCTTGCGGAGTGGGCTGGAAGGGTTACCCAGGTTACGGCCCTACAAAATGCACTAAATTGAAAGTGTACCGCCCGAAAACCTGCGCTCATCATAACATAAAACAGATGTATGATGAAGACAGGCCGAGTACGGCAAACAGTTTTGATAAAAAATGGCGATTTATCAAGCAGAATAAAGTAAAACCGATCGATTTGGCTTTGTGTTGGGACTTGTCCCCGGCCGATCCAGAGGATGAGCCGAAATTGCCGCTTCACATTGACGGTTCTAACGGATCGCAAGCACCCGCTGTGTTCTCCCTGGTTCACACGCCAAAAGACGAATGCGAAAACGTCCCGAAATGTGACGGGGTACATGCTTGTGGACCGATATTCGAACATGGCGGCAAAGGCGGACAAGCCAAAGATTTCATTTTTGATCGACCGCGTACTAGCTTAGTACCTAAAAGCAGCGGTACCCGCAGTGGGACATCTGAGGAAGGTAAAAAACGAGCCAAAAGCGCACACGACCTTCATCACGAGTATCAAGAGAAATCATCGTGTAGCGCTTCTGAAAAAAGTACCAAAAGTAGTGCACCATCCCTAAAAGACAAAGCCAAAGGTTTTCATCGCAGTACTCCTAATTTAAGGGGTACGGAGAAACATGTATTGCACCCTTGCGACCAGCATTCCTGCAAAAAAATCGGCAAACGTCTTTGCGTGGCTTGCGAGCTTAAAAAGTTGCCGGGCGATCGAAAACTGAACACCGAATATAAAACGGCGTTTAAAGCAGGCGTACCACAAAAATACGTAAGTAAAAGTAGCTGCAGAATTAGAGTACCTAAACAAAAAGGTCCATATAGGATGTTGGGCTATGCTATTCATAGTTTAGTTCCACCTTTTTCTTTGCAGAATTATAAACGGGACGATTACCCTGAACACTGGAGGCTGGCTACTGTCTATCAACATTCCTATAAACCCATCAATTTAAGGAAAAGAAACTTGCTCCAAACTGTTTATAAATAGTAGGTTAGTTTTAAAACGGACCAAAAAGCAAAATAAAACATATACAGGGTGTTTCAAAACAAATGCGAAAAACTTCAGGGGGTGATTCCTTGTTCAAAATAAACGGGAGTTTGCTTTATAAACGTTGGGTGAAAAGTCAACCATTAGGGAGATATCGCGGTACAAAGATATAGCGGAAAAATAAAGTTTTTATTTTTTATCTTGAAAACGAAAAGAGATAGACTAATGAAATTTTATGGAAGCATTACTGTTATGAAAACACCCTTTCTGGTAATTTTTTCACTTTTTTGAAATGAGTGGAAGGGGTTGAAATAAACTACCCCTGTCATTCTAGTGGGCTGCTGTAATTTTTTTAGGAAAAAATCTAGTCGGCCGGTGTTACTTTTTAGGATGTTTCTAATATTATTTTATTTGACATTACTCTACCGCAATATGTTATTATCTAGATGATTATTATTATCGTTATTCTCTTTCTAAGATTCTTTATCTAAAAATGTGTTTTGTCCTGACATGTAAAGATTTACATTTTATTTTTTAATTTCAAATCGGTGAGTTTTATTAAAAAAACACAAGAGATAAAAAAGTTTCTAAACAAACTAAACTATCCAAATTAATTTTTTTGCATGTGTTTGATAAGATTTTTCTTTAAATTTCGTTACCAAGTATGATAGGGGTAGTTTATTTCAACCCCTTCCACTCATTTTAAAAAAGTGAAAAAATTACCAGAAAGTGTGTTTTCATAACAGTAATGCTTCCATAAAATTTCATTAGTCTCTCTCTTTTCGTTTTCAAGATAAAAAATAAAAACATTATTTTTGCGCCATCTTTTTACCGCGATATCTCCCTAATGGTTGAATTTTGACCCAACGTTTATAAAGCAAACTCCCCTTTATTTTGAACAAGGAATCACCCCCTGAAGTTTTTCGCATTTGTTTTGAAACACCCTGTATATTCACTACAATACACCAAACCAATTTACTTATATCCGCTGGACGCGCGTTTGGCTAAGTGCAAAACGAAAGTGTTTTGGTGTATTGTGGTGAATTAATGTTTTAATTTGCTGTTGTAACACCAAAGGATCCATGTTCCAATCCTCAACTGTAATATTTAAAACGGATACTCTGGCAACAAGAAATAGTTTCACACTAAATTTTAGTTAATAATTTTTAATTTTTCTATATTGTGTTAAAAATTGTTAGATATTTATTTAAAAAAAAAGTTTTTAAATGATATCCATAGTGACTTAGCTTTACAAAATAGAGCTCGATATCAGATTTATAGTTTAAGTTTGTTTATTAAATATTTTTTTAGATAATATGAGGGATAGGGAATGCAATCCCGCATTTGCGGGATCCCTCTGAGATTCCGCGGGATCAAAGTTGCGGGATCGACCCATTACTACTGGGTAACCGAATCGATCTCGATCGGGGTCAAACCGTTTCGTTCCGGGCCGATGTGTCGACGGTCGGAACCCGGGGGATTCCCCTTACAGCTTGGCTTTAATAAGTGAAACAAACAGGTTACTTGTTAGATTTCTTTCTGGCGTATGTGGGTAAGTGAAGAAAAGCATTTAACTAGTACTTGTGGACAATTTCGTCAAATAAACTGCCGGACATAATTATCGGGACAAGCAAAATTTTAGGGTAAATTTAAAGTTGAATAGGTATCTCTTGAACTAAAAAAGATTTTGGGATGCTGTTTGGACCAGGTTTTAGATGCATCTATTGTGATTAAGATGCTATATGGTGTTCGAAAATATATTTAGCGAATTCTCCTATACAGGGTGTTTTATAAGAGTGTGAAAATTTGGTCAAAAATATTTTTTACCGTAAATTTACAATTTTTAAAAAATCGAAATTTTTACCAAGTACGACTAATCTGTATTGAAATTAGAAACAACAATTTGATAGTTTTTTTAATTTTTTTTTTTGTTTTAAGGAAAATACGTTTTTTTTTGAAAAATATGCACTTTTAGTCATACGTATGGTCCTAAATGGTACAAAAAGCTTTGTACACTCTGCATATGCCAAAAATTATTGATATAGAGTGTATCTAAAAGCAGATAACTAACACAATTATGTTAAAAAAAACTTCAACATCAGAATAATATTTTTATTTATAAAATAAGTAGATAAATTATAATAAAACTTAAGTTTTTTTAATATTAAATATATTTTTTGAACACCCTGTATACATCGGTCCAAATTTCTGACCAGCTCGTTTAAGATACACGCTATATCAATATTTTGTGGGCCTATGCAAAATGTACAATGCCGGCGGGTTTGCGGGATTGAGATTTTGGTGCGGGATTGCATTCCCTAATGAGGGATAGGTAGTAATAGCTGTGAATAAGTTTTGTCAATACATCAAACAAATTTTCAAACTATATTTGTATATTTTTAAATGGAACTCAATATTTCTACATGCCGTATACACTATACATATAGATTCTGGATATAAAATAAATTTATCAAAACGTAAAATTGAATAAAAAATTGTTAATCAATGTTATAAAATACAGATGTTAGAAAGAAAAATACAAGTTTTGTCTCAACCTGTAAATATTATGCAATAGTTATAAACTGCCCGTCAAATTAAATACCACAGCGATTTTTTTACTCATGGGTCATCTTCAACGAGTTGTAACTTTGAAAAAAATGGACGAATTTTGATGATTTTTTTTTAGACACAAAAATAGTTTTTACAATAATATCAAATACGTGTCGAGCTTTTATATTAACCTTATAGGCTGTTAAGTTCAGAATATTAAAAAAATAATTTTACTTTTTCGCTGGTCGTATTTTTAAGAGATCCTGTATTAAACTGCGTTAGTTAAATCATTTTTTTTTGTTGTATAAAGTATAGACCATTTCTAATAATTTTTTTAAGGAAGCTTGAAAAAAAAATTATTTATTTATTAATATCTCGCTGAAATTATCGAAATATATTTACTCATATCTAGGTATTATATAAAGTGTGCGTACCATAGGCAACTAATAATACACACTATCAAGACAAGGACTACAATGACGTCACAACTGTCAGCTGAAGCGCGGGAAGAGCATAAAGAGGCGAACGTACGTCCGTTCTTGGTGTGGGTGGATGCAAATCAAGGATTAAGGATGCAAATGACTAATGACTAGAGAGGTTTTCGGAAATAAAATCCTAGATTAGGTAGTTTACTAATCAGCTGTTCCAAGATCAGTGCTGAGAGTAATCAGCTGGTAGTTTAATTACGAACGGTTGGATCATTAGATTTACCGGGTTAACAATCACATTTAAATATATTTCGTAAAAAGAGATAAATTAAACAAATAATCCTAATATCCCTCTTTAACGATTGTATAAGATCTATTTTTATCCTATTTGTTTTGCTTTAAGTATACTTTTTAGTTTCTGTAAGACTATTTTTTATAAAAACAAAATGTGTTTTATTTTAGGCTTTTTTAAAATTATGCCATTTAAAACAAAAACACTATAAACTTTATTTTAATCATTTATTTACTGCCAACATAATAAACATTCCATCATATTAATAATAAAAAAATATATCAATTTTTATCTACCAATTGTGATGAAAATTTTCAGAATTGTCTATCAAGTTCCATTCTTTCATTATGCCTGGCTATTTTAATCTAAATGTTTTAAACCACTTTTCTGTAGTTGAGTTTTCATTTTTTTCCTATTGGGTGTCTCCGATAGTGCTTTTTCGCAGTCAGTATCTTTAGAATTACTTGTTGGTTTTTTATTTATTTAAAATCTAGAGTTACTTGATGCTATGCTGATTGGCTCATTTTTACGGTCACTAACAAAATATCATGTATTTGATCAACATTAGATAAAGTGATTTCGGACAAAACGGTTATTAAAAAACTTTATACTTCTATGCGGACCGTTACGTTTAAAATTATCCTAGAAATGATCAGCTGATTAATTCTACCCACCTCATTAGGAGGGTTAGTAGGATCACAACATATGGCAAAAATCGAGTTATTCGGATCACTTTCCGAACGCATTGACTCGTTTTGAGATCACTTTTCGAACGTCTGGATTAGTAATCCTATCAATCCGATCAATCAGATCACAGTTTCCGAAAAGCCCTTAGAATAATCAATTTAGACAATATGGCTGAGGATCTCGGTTCGGATTCCGTGTAAACAAAGTAGCTCTAACTTAGAACGTCTATTATTATCTATGACGTAAACAGGGTTGTTCCTGGAAGCACAATCGTGCCTGTGACAAATCTTGGCTATATCTTGGCAAAATAAATTGCCACAGATGCATATTCAACCAGTGCCTTCTATTAAAAGATCAGCCTGCGGGCGAGATTTATGACGTCACGCTAGTTAGATATAACGGATTAATAAATATGTTGTAGAATACATGGAAAACATAATTATTCCTCAGATTTTTGGTTTGTATTTTAAAAATGATATAGTTTAAATGAAATATACATAATATACAGTTAATAACTACAACATATATACCTATTTATAGTAATAAATACTTTGGTAAATAAACTATGAACCATACAAATGCAGCAAATGTTTTACAATGTACAAATAATGTATAGGTACATAAGATAATGGGTAAAATGTAAATATATTTTAAATTTTGGGGTTTGAAAATCGATCTAATTTAACAAAAACATTTAATATCTACTAATAGTGATGTATTATTATTTGCATTCACAAAATTTATATGTATATTTTGCAAGTATCAATGTTCGAAAAATTATATTTACAAATAATACAATATTATCTAAAAAGGCGTCAGCGATGGCTATGAAATGAAGATCGCTGGCATTTTATATGTTAAATTATTCTAAAATTTTTGATTTTCTTGGGATTTTTAGGTTCGGGAAAAACGCTGATTAAGTTTTCATTTGGGTTTTCATTATTTTTATTTGTTTAAAACGTTTCGGCTAACTATTTCATTTCACAGTGTTGTGTCATTATGAGAAAAGTATCGAGTTTATAATATAAAAAAAATTACATATACAATATAATTCACACCTCATAATGTTTACTGCAATTAATAAACTAATATAAACTTATCAAAAGATGACCACATATTTTTTAAAATTATTATTCTTAACACTAAAATTATCTACATTGACTATGGAGTACGCAGTAAACATTATGTGCGTGGTGTGAATATTTTATATGCAATTTTTTGGATTATATTCGACACTATTTTTTTCATATGACACAACACTGATGGAGGCTATAATGTTAGCCGAACCGTTTTTTTTAAAGCAAATAAAAATAATGAAAAACCAAATGAAAAATCAATCAGCGTTTTCCCGAACCTAAATTCCAAGAAAATCAAAAAATTTAGTATATTTAGAATCAAGGTTCAAGAATATCAAATTTTCCAAGATTGTAAAATTCTAGTTAATTATTTTATGTGTACAGTTATTTAGGGAATGTCATCGATGTTCATTTCCAAGCCAACTAGACGCCGATTTTTTTCGATGATACGGTATAATTCTTACGTAAAATGTAAATAACATTAGACCAATTAAAACAAAGAAATATGAATTTCTTAGTATTTTTAGTAACACCTTTATACTTAAAACTTAATTTTGTATTATGCAAATATACCAATTTTATTGTTATTTTATTCACATTGTATTCAGCCATCACTTAAAATATTTGATATTTATTTGGTATTATAAATAATCAACACTATTCATTAAAAATTACTGAACAAATATATGTTATGCTTGACATACATTATATATTATCAAACAAAAACACATTCTTCTTTTAAACTGTATCAGTCTTGTCTTTAGAAAAATCTTTTTTAAAATTTGAACTCAAAATAATAATCTTTTTCATGATCTTTAATACACATATTCTTTATTTTTCCCTAGATCATAATACCTACTGACATGTTTATCTTACGTGTTTGAATCTATCAAAGCTGCACCAACAACACTTGGAATGGAGATTCCACAATATGAATAAAATAAACATAATTGTCCAGTTTTCATTAATACTATCATGGGAGAATATTATTTTTAAATTTATTAAAGATATTTTCAATAGAATTCTCTTGATTTATAACTCGTACCCATTTTTCTTGCTCTTCCGGACACTTTAGGCTGCCTAGTATAACTATCCTTTCCACCAGGAACACAACAAAGATGAGGCATAGCACAAAAACACACTCCACTTAAGCTTTATTGATGAATTGTTAGAGTCTTAAAAAACACACACAAAAATCACGATGAGTAAAAAATGTATGGGCACTTTTAGGTTAAATCACTTACACAACGTGTAATTTTTCAATTTTTCTATTTTTTTTATGCGAAACCGAGAGTGACCATATATCTGGTGGATTTATGTCACTTCAACACCAAAATAATTAGTTTTTTGCACTACAATAATAAATAATACCAAAAATCAAAGAGTTAAAACCAAAAATCAACCGACAAAATATGAAACGGAATCTAACCCAATATCTAAGTATGTACAGCTGACGAAGTAAACAAAAGTCCGCCCGTAGGCTGATCTTTTAATAGAAGGCACTGATTCAACTGAATATTATGCACTTTGGTTATCTGCAGGGTTCGGAAGTAGTTAATTAAGACGTAATTTACCTGATTAACTACGTGTAGTTTTTCTTCAAAAACTCCGTCTTTTTCCGTTCATTAACTACATGAAAACTACGTTAATAAACTATGTATTGATATTATGAATAATTTCCTTTCTATGAGGTGTATCCATATTAATATGATGTAAATATTATATTTAAAGCCATATTTCTTCTGTCTTCTTAAATTCATTATGTGTTTTTAAAGCTTCAACACACTTTTAGTTACAACAAGTTACATACATAGGTTACATAAACTACACCCTCTACATAAACTACATTAACTACATGTAATGTAGTTTATGTAGTTTTTAAAAGTAACATGTAGTTTTCCGAACCCTGGTTAATGGTTTGTGATATGCACTCAAAAATTTTCAAGGAACAACCCTGAACGTAAATATTAATCCTCTATATCTCTGTATTAATCATATCCACGATATCCACATATCCTTATATGTATTCTTATCATTGTGCCTTATCATATTATCAAATAAAATCTTTTTTCAACCTTTTCTTGTTTCTTGTTTATTTATTTTAGAACTATTTTTTGGTTGTGTGTAGTGTAGTCTGGTGTTTAGTTTGGCGTGTAGTGTTTTCGTTTCGGTAATTCCGTGTTTTCTGTTATTTCCTTTGAATTTTAAAAGCAATTTCTAATATCCAATCCAATCTGTTTTTGAATATAGTTATATTTTGTGTTGTGGTGGTGTTGTGCTACAGTGCTATCCACAAATCTACATAGAATAATAAATTAAAAAAAGTCTGTGTTTACAGCTTTATAATAATATATTCTAGATTTAGTTACCCTGTGCTTTATCTCATTATTTTATGGTTTATATAGAATGTTTAAGATTAAAATTGAAAATCATCAGAGAAAAGAAATAAAAACCATGGAAGTAGACAATATTTTTGACTCTAGTTTTTCCTTTGTATCGAAAGAAAACGAAAAATTTATTAAAGAATTTATTGAAGTATTCAAGGAAAATCCAGTTCTATGGGATAAAACACATCCGAACAACAAAAATATGTCAGTAAGGCTTGCTGCTTTGGATAATTTACTGAAAAAAAGCCAGGAGTACTTTCCTAATGCAGACATAGATTTCGTTAGACACAGACTTGAGGGACTGAGAAACTCATTTAGAAGGGAGTATAGAAAGGTGTGACAGATATAAAAGACAAAATATTCTAATAATTAAATATCTTTATTTAAGGTGGTAGCGAGCAAAAAGGCTGGGACAGAAATCTATGTACCTAGTTTATGGTATTACAATATGTTGCTTTTTACTGTAGGAGAAGAGGAAGAAGAAATACCAGAAATAACATATGAATTTGTAAGTTTACTTTTACCTACTCTTCTCTGTTTTACATTAAATTATTTAAGAAACATGTTTGGAGCCGAGAATATATAGTGCTTCTAATTGAATTGTTTAAAAACCATCCCATACTCTACTCTCCCAAAAGTCCACAAAACACATTAGTCAAAAGGAACAAGGCGTACACTCAAATTACGAAGAAACTGATTGCCGAGACAGGAAAGTTCTTTGAAGTTAAAGAGGTGAGGAAAAAAATTATGTCGTTAAAAGACCAGTTTAGGAGGGACTTGAAAAACAAACGAGATTCCTCATCACTATGGTGTCACGAATTGTTATCGTTCTTGGAAACAGAGTGGTTAGGAAAGGTAATTGATTGTATTGTACCCACAAAACATCCCCCTTTAGAACTTTTTCTTTAATGGACATAAGCGGGAGGAAAAGACCAACCGCCCGAACAAACACTAGAGGCGCCACCGGTCATCAAATGGTGTAAAAATTTATTTAATCATCTAATTTTGGCACAAGGGGTCGCGCTTAACTTTTTTAATTTTAATTCAGTTTTCATTTTTTTCAAACTATATTATTTTATATTATTAGACTTTATTGTATTTTGTGAATGTATAAATGTTTTCTTAGTATAAAGTTGCATTATATTAATTTAAATTATATTACATACATACTTATTCTGACAAATATGTCAGTTGTCATCTAAAATGTCATCTTGATAACAAAAAGTTAGTTATTGTCAGAAATAGTTAAAATATTAAAATTTACAAGTTATAGTTAGATATTTTATATTATTTCAAAAACAAAAACATAATGGTACAGCATAATGTTGATATGCAGGTCCAAAACAAATAGTGCCGTTATATTTTTCAGTTTTGTCAGCCGCGGAAGTTTCAGTGATTTTAGTGTTGTCGGATATTTTTATTTGTGAAATAGAAATAGTGCGTTTGGATTGCAAAACTAAAAGTGGAAGTTTTATTGCAATGTAAGTAAGCGTTTGTCCATTTTATATTTCATTTTTTTCATACCTACGACAAATATACATATATTGAAATTTTATAATTCATTTTATTTAAAAAATGTTAGAAAACAAGCTTGTAATCCTCTAACTGACATAATTGTTATGTAATATATTCCATTTAAATGTAATATATTACTTTACAATTAAAAAATATACAGGCATTAATTAAAATTTTTAGTGTGTGAACAAACACGAGAGGGGTGCTTTATTATTTACTTTAATTTCTTAACATGACAGACGAAGTTCTAAAAGGGGATGTTTTGTGATTGTACCAGTACCATTAATTCTTTTATGTATTGATTTGTGTGTACTCTAGAGAGAAAAGATTAAAGATGATAGTTCTGAGGATGACATTGAAAATACTAGAGAATTGAGGTCCGATGTAAGTCAAAAATCTAAAAATTTCCAGAAAAATAACAGAAACTATGACAGCGATGAAAAAGAGGCTAAAATATTTGTGGAAGAAAATTACGATGATATTTTTGATGCAATTGGGAAAACTGTTGCCATAAAGTTGAGAGATATGAGCGATGAACAAAGGAAATATGCAGAAACTATAATAAATGACTTAATGTATAATGGGTTAATGGAGAAATTGACACCTCAGTCCAGACTCGCATTAGATGCTTTATAAATAAAATAAATTCGTTTTATTTAATGTACCTATCTTATATTTTTCATTCAACGCTATAGCGTGTTTCAGAAAACATGTGCCATCGCCATCGAGATTCCAATCCGTAGACACACTGTATACCACCCCTAAAAGTATTTGCACTTATTGAACTCACCCTGTATAAGAAAAAAAACTTGGAGAAAATCTTTTATTAAAACAATAGAATTACACAACACACATTCATATTTTTTAAAAATGGAATATTTGCACAGCCCATAACAAACAGTTTGTTGCATCTAATTATTACGTTTGTGATATTTTATAAATTGAACTATAAAAGAAAGGAAATTAATAATTATATCTAATTTTGTGGGTGTCGTTACAAGGCACATTACGTAGTCTTCGATTGCTGCAATACATTGTAAGCGGCTCCTAAGGCCCAACTAATTTCGTGCCCCTTGATTTTTTTATAAAGCTGTAATTTAAAATTATTTATAATATATTTTATCCGTTCAAATCTTTGAATAAGAAGACTAAGGAAGGAGCATAATGCTATCCATATATTCATGCATGGTGGGCGGAAAAAGCGCCATAAAAGCACTCTAGGGTGGGGATCCTTGACAGTTCTGTTTGACGATTCATTTGACACATTTGAATTTGATTTGAAATTTTGTGGATTTGTCAGTCTTTACCATAGACAAACTAACAAAAGCAAGACGCGTCAACGCTGTACTGCAAAACGGTAACAAGTTTGATAAGAGTTTATTACCGCGCTTGCGTCAACTGGCCTTTTAGACGAGGACGGTTTACTTATGGATTGTGTATTTTGTAGTAGCCTTTTAGACAAGGATGTTTAATTAAAAAGCGTTTATTAAAATCAAATAAATTTATTTCCATCAGTAAAATAAACAATGATTTCTGGACATAACAGATATAAAAACAAAAGTTAAATAAACGAAAACGTATTCCTCTTAATAAAATAACAAAAAAGATGATAAAAAAAAGACAGTTATGGTAAACGAAATAAAAGCATTATTCTTCAAAAGGTACAAAAAAATAATTATGTATATTATAATATTAATAATAGGAACAACAAGAAACATCTTAAAAATATACAACTTTTTCAAATATAAAACAAAAACATAAACTTCACATTTTCACAAGAATTTGCAAAAATATTAACATTTCGAGTCTATTATAAAATATAAAGCACGAAAATTCAAATCATAAAAAGATTAAAAAGATAAAGATTCTTATAACTTACAGTCAATTTGTAGGACCTTCGTTTTGTCTACGTTAGCGATGTAATCACAATAATATGTAAATCACAGTAATTATTATGTTCTTCATAAATGGAAAATGTATTAAATTATTTGTTTTCGTTTTGTACGCTAATAAAATAATAGTAATAACCAAACAAAACGCAAAATCAGGAATTCAACAGTTCGTTCAAGGATGGTTCAAGGCAAAAACGTTTTTCGTTTTATTTAGGTTAGGTTTGACGAGTGCGACTGCGCGATGATTTCTGACTCAACTGGCCAGCGCAAAAACAATAATTCGACTTCCTCAATCCTTTGAAAAGTCTTGCTTTTGTTAGTTTGTCTATGGTCTTTACGGAGCTTATTTTATGTTATTTATTATTTATTCTACTACTGATAGTTGTATAAAGGTAGTAAATCTAGATGGAAATTGTGGCAGAATTTAAATTAACAGTGCCACTATAGCGATTTATCGAAAAAGACTCTAAAATAGTTGGTTGTGTAGCGTACGGTAGATCTCGGCAAAAATTGAGTGAAATAATGGAACTTTTCGCTAGTAAGTGACTATATAATATACATACGTGTAGTAAACCGATCATTTATGAAATTCACTTAAATTAACTAAATTATATATTTTTCTTGCATTTTAGCTTTTATTTATTAATTGTCAAAGATTAGATGTCAAAGAATTTAGATACGTTAATTTGACTTACCTGCTTCAGTAGCGTATCGGATGTTTGTGTTAATAAATACTTATTATAACTTATCTATTTTTATTACAATTATATATTTTTATAACAATTTTAATAACTACCAACATTTATTCACAACGTAAAATAAAACAACGAATTATTGAGTCTACCCCACGTCTACCCTACATCATAGTTTTACATTTTTTAAATAAAATTAGAACGACACTGATAAACCGGAATTTAAGTCGGCCATATTTGAGGCCCATCGCGGTGTACCTAAGATTTTTGATATGCTCCTTCCTTAGTCTTCTTATTCAAAGGTTCAAATTAAAACATTTTTGTACTTACGTATATATTTGTATCCAATCCCAGTCCAAATCCTTGTTCTAATAAGAGCCAAATAAACGTTAGATCCAGACACATAAAAGGTTGATCAACGTTGGCGCGATGACAACTTTTAGTGGCGGCCTTTTTAAAATCTTCTACCTGTAAATATTTAATATCCACATTTTTAGATAAATTTATACAATAAGATGAAAAAAACGGCACCAATGATGGCTATAAGATCGCTGTCATTTTATACAGGGTGTCCCAGCAATAAGTGCAAGTATTTTAAAGGGTGGTAGATCTCGATAAAAAGAAACAGATTTTCTCTTTATCGTTTTTCAAATAAGTCCAAAATAACGGAGTTATTTTACTTTGAAAATTTCCAAAAAAAAAAGATTTTTTGCTAAAATTTTGAGAACCACTGGATCTTTTCTGGATTTTCTTTCTTGTAAATTTAATCTAATACCTATGTTGCCATTTTATCAAAAAATTATGTTTTTTAACTAAAAACTAAAAAAAAATCCAAAAAATTTCGAATTTTCAATTTTTTTTTTCGTGAAACAAAACTCATAGGCGTGTTTCTGGGGTTCAACTATACCACCAATTAAAATAATCGATCGTCATTTCCAAGCTAACTTGACGCCGTCTTTTTTCGATCGGAATGAGTTAAATCAAATTTTATACAAGGTGGACCGGATTGTATTCGGCAGCATATTTTGCAGATAAAAATAAGTAAAAAAGTTCCTATATAAATACCGTATGATCGAATAAAAACGGCGTCCAGTTGGCTGGGAAATGACGATCGATGACATTTCCCATATAAAATGACAGCGATCTTCATTTCATAGCCATCGTTGACGCCGTTTTTTCTCGATCATACGGTATATGTCCTAAAAAGCTTCGTTTCGGAGATACAAGGTGCAGAAGTTTCATTTTATTTCATTTTTTTTTGCAGCCTGCAGTACTAATTATATACTTATAAATAATATTTTCACCGATCAAGAACTGAGGAATAGGCTGGAAGATATTCAGAAAATGTGTAAAACGCTTAAAAACGTATTAGAAAACATTGACTCGGCCACAAGTTCATGAAAATAAATTAATTACAGTTGAGGGTTGGAACCTTTGGTGTTACACAGCAAAATAAAAACACTAAATCACCACAATACACCAAAACACTTTTACTTTTACACTGGACGCGCGTTTCGCTAACCATGTTAGCATCATCAGCAGATGATTATAAACTAAAGTACAATCTACAAGTTGAGCGTTTATATACTCGCTCAGTGGGCACCAAGTGGGCGTGGCAAAATCTAGCCAACCGAGTCAGAGCCAACTGAGCGTAACAGTTAGATTCCCGCCACTAGAGTAGTAGGAACAAAGAACTTGAAGGAATTGGACCGTTGACTCTGTTCATACTATCTTTACATTTATTAATTCTGATGCTTTCATATGCATCTAGTTGCCTGTAATTTGAGACTTGCTTAATTAATTTTAAATTATTAAGATCTATACAATGTTCATTATCAACAATATGTTCAGCAAGGCAAGATTTATCCGGTCTACCATATCTTATCTGAGCTAAATGTTCTTTAAATCTAGTTAATATTGATCTTCTAGTTTACCTAACATATTTCTGATTACAATCTTTACAAGAAATTTCATAAATACCCGACCTTTCCAGTGGAGGTGTTTTATCTTTTGGATTACCTAATAATTGTTGTAATTTATTATTAGCACTATACACAAGTTTATAATTGACATTCTTAAAAATTCCTTTTAGACCACGGGATAACTCTCTATCAAACGGTATCGAAAAATATTTAGACGTATCTTTCTCCACTTGAAAAGTCGAATTTTCAGAAATCATTAAACGTAGGTATAGGTTAGAAGAAAGTAAATAAATATTGATCAATTATTGAAAGACGCCTAAAACTGTTAATCAATAAAACTAGTACTGTATTTTTATTTTTCTACTTGCTGTATTAAAATTCCTTAGTATTTTTAGTTGATCCCTCGTAACGGCCAGCGTTCTGACTGATAAAATAGCACTTCCGCTGCACCCGGTAAACGTACAAATTTTTTGTCACCTCGAAGGGTCACGGGCCGCCTTTGAAGTCAAAATAACAACAGAATTCCTTAGAGTGGGTCAACTGATATAATTTATATTCTTTAAACTGTGGTAGTACTTTATTATTAGGCCGGATAGCCCTAATAGCTTAGGCCTTTAAATCAATAGAAACTATAACAAAAAAATTGCAGAATATGCTGCCGAAGTTTCCCGAATACAATTCGGACCACCCTGTATATTGTTGCATTAGTTTCTAGGATTACATTGTACCTTCACTTGTCCTCCCGTATCGAAATCAATTAAACCGGCCTCACTGGCCCTGTCATAGTAGTAACTAAAGGCAAATATCGTTTTTAAGGGCAGTTCTTCGGGTGGCTTCCGCGTACTTGAGATATCGTGAATGTAATTGGCTATTATGTTGGAACACTTGGAAAAATCCACTATTGGTATCTGTTCGCCCACGTATAAGTCATCGCTTTTCACGTTCAGTGTTGGATAGTTCTTTTCTAGGCCGCTTACATAGTAGTCATTTCCTACGATCGAATTAATGTAAAAAAAAGGATAATTACAGACATAGTTATACCCAAAGACATCTAAATAAAGGGAGACAAAACCATTTACCTGTTATCCCGATCAAACATTGTTTCAACAAAAATCGACGATGACAAATTTCTGCTGATTGCGTTATAGTACGAGAGCTAGCAACGTCGGAAAAACAAGTGTTTTAAGACGTCTAGCTCTTTGATATATCTTTTACTATGCTCTCTAGAACAGCATGCGGCCCGTCTGGCTGCCGATACCCGTTGCGTTCCCTACTGCGCATTGAGAGAAGATCCTATATTTTTTTATTAGTCCTTTTAATTTTAGTATTGAATATAAATCGAACATGTCTCTCTAGCGCAGGGCGTAGAGTTTCCGACCAAGAACCGATGATTCAGAGTTCGAATCCGGGTCAGGGCAAATACTTTTTTATTTTATTTTCGTTTATATTCTGATAGTAAAGTATTAAATATTTGTTTTTTTTAAATTACCAGAGTTATTGGTAGGCAATAGAAAAATAAGGCAGGTAATAGAGATATAATTATTATATTCATTACAAATATTACAAATTCAAATTACATTTTACGATTGTTGATAAAAACAGCACGTCACTTATTAGACCAAAAAGACAGAAACGTACAGGAAACTTAACAGTGTTGCCATATTTATGTACCATCTCTTTTTAACTCACATAAAAGTGTTAAAGTATGTATAATCGTAAACGAATCGATTTTTATGAATGGAGTGGTTTCTGTTCCCCTTATTTAAATGGTTATACTATATTACTTTCGTTATACCGTCTATTGCTTCGCCAACCTGAACATAGAAAATTAAATGTAAATTTTAAAACTGATAAATAACCCCTCCCCAATTTATTTTACAGAAAAATGTATTTGAAACATTTTAAAGAACTTCTTAGAATAAAGCAAATTCTTTATTTTCAATAGCTTCTACGAATTCCTTTTGGAGATATGACGTATATATGATAAAACCTTTGAATAAGAAGACTAAGGAAGAAGCATAATGCTATCCATGTATTCATGCATGATGGGCGGAAAAAGGACTCTAGGGTGGGGATCCTTGACAGTTCTGTTTGACGATTCATTTGACACATTTGAATTTGATTTGAAATTTTGTGGATTTGTCAGTCTTTACGGAGTTTATTTTATGTTATTTATTATTTATTCTACTACTGATAGTTGTATAAAGGTAGTAAATCAAGATGGAAATTGTAGCAGAACTTAAATTAACAGTAAAACTATCGCGATTTATCGAAAAAGACTCTAAAATAGTTGGTTGTGTAGTGTGCGGTAGATCTCGGCAAAAATCGTGTGAAATAATGGAACAACTTTTCGCTAGTAAGCGACTATATAATATACATAAGTGTAGTAAACCGATCATTTATGAAATTCACTTAAATTAACTAATTATATATTTTTTCTTGCATTTTTGCTTTTATTTACTACTTGTCAAAGATTAAATGTCAAAGAATTTAGATACGTCAATTTGACTTACCTGCTTCAGTAGCGTATCGGATGTTTATGGTTATAAACAATTATTATAACTTATCTATTTTTGTTAGAATTTTATATTTTTATAACAATTTTAATAACTACCAACATTTATTCACAACATAAAATAAAAAAAAATATTGAGTCTACCCCACGTCTACCCTACATCATAGTTTTACATTTTTTAAATAAAATTAGAACGGCACTGATAAACCGGAATTTAAGTCGGCCATATTTGAGGCCCATCGCGGTGGACCATTGATATGCTCCTTCCTTAGTCTTCTTATTCAAAGGATAAAACAAATTGAACAAAAAACAATCCGGCCCTGATAGGAATAACAAACATGTCACCTTCAAAATGTTTTAATAGAGAACAACGGCCTATGGTCGAGTCGGCTGCTATACGCTATACGCGTATACGTAGACGTAAAGAATCTTTTACGTGTATAAAAAATAAAAAATATAATAAATGCGCATGCGTACGTAAACGTTTACGTGTTTGTAGTCTGTGCCGTTGTTCTCTAATATAATATTGACCTTGTACATCCCAAAAATAATTTATAAATGTGAATTATAAAACTAAAGAAAATAAAAATATAGTTGATGATTGAAAATCCACAAACCAAAAATAATAATATATGATAATAATATAGTTAGGTGGCATTATGGAGAAAATAGTCTATAAACTGTAAAAAAATCGTCCTCGAATCCTTAAAACGAACATCGAACAAAATGGGTCCTGTAAATTAAAAATGGGTCCTGTCTCTTTATAAATTGGTAATCTTTTATTCATCAATTTTATAATTTACCTGCGATTTCCTGTGTTCAGGTCGACGATGCAACGCACGGTATGTTTAAATATCGAAAAAATAGATGGCATAGCTTACCATGATAATGAAACTTCTTATTACGAACGACGGGATTCACACATTCACAGGTTACATTAAACGTATCGGCATTTTGATAGGATATCACAGCTTTCCTAGCCGCCATCAGTCCCAATCCTAGATAACTGTGAGTAAATACGGGTATAGGGCCGCTAGGGGCCAACGCTTCGTGTATATTCTCTTTATCTTTAAAGCTAGACGGAGTGACAGCCGAAAACGTCACCTGAGTCGACCCGCCTCCCAAATCCAAGGCCGCCACAGTTTGGGCTGGATTTAAATTTATTTTGTCTTTAAAAAAGTAAAAATAAAATTTAAAAAAGGACTTAGAACTCAATATTACTATATGTACTTACTAAGAAGGAAGTTTACTGTAAACCAAGAAAATATTCCTTCGTCTGTTCCATCCATTATTTCGATGGATTTGTCGTTGGTTAAAAACGGTGTTTTTTTAAACAGATTTCTTACTGCATCTAGCAAGTTGTCGGCTTGTTCGGCAGGCAACAGTCTTAAACCTGCCGTGGCTTTTAGAATCAGCGGAGTTTGGTTCCAATACTCTTTGGGTATTTCTTTTTTTGCCTTTTCTAAAAGATCCGCAATTTTTTCCACACCCTACACATATCACTTGTTAATACAGTTTTAGGTAACTTTATGTAAAAATACGTTTATACCTTTTGGGGCTCTTTGGCAAAAGATGAAAGTCCGGGCTTGTTATATTCAAACAATTCTTTGTCCAGTACCAAGTACCCACCTACGGAAAATAAGCAAAAATCTAGCACAAACTGAAACTTTTATTGAAATATGAAAAATAATAAAAAAACTGAATTCTATTTTTTTTGTAAAGTGCCACTGCTGTAGCACAGATTATACAGATTATAATCTTTGTTTTTTTTTATTGTTTTTCGTGGTTCCAACTTTCGAAATCGGGCATTAGTTAGGTGACCAGTTTGTGCACATAGCACGCCCACTTATGGCCTCTAAAATTGTGCACAGCGCCTGAGGGTGCAGCCACACTATCCTGAAAACGGCGTATCGGCGTAACGGCGTAATGACCTTGAATAGATTTCCAGTAATTCTATTGGCTGAAACATTCATCTGTCAGAAATTTTATCTGTCAAATTCATCTGTCAAAAATTTCAGCCAATAGAATTACTGGAAATCGATTCAAGGTCGTTACGCCATTACGCCGATACGCCGTTTTTAGGATAGTGTGGCTGCACCCTGACCGGCACAGTTATTAGAGAGATATCGGAAAACCAAATAGCGTCATCCAGTATTTACGCGTACCTTATCATGGTTACGATATGCGCGAGTCAATTTTTAACGCAACACCCGCTAATAACGTTACCGCCTGACGTAATTTGCGGATCAATTACACCAAGCGCTCTTTCTAAATAACCTCTGATAACGTTTAAAAATTGCTTAAATGGGCATGTGCGGGTATTTGACAACCGGAGCCGGCCGGAGATCTTTTATTTTAGGTTATGTTTGAATTGTTTTGAATTATTGCTTTAGTTTTATTAGGTAATTTGATATTTAAGTAGCTGGAATTAGTTTTAATTACTTAATAATTACAAATACAGTTCGGACCACCCTGTATATACCAAATTTCGTCAATGATGATGGGGTTTCATAGTGCACGAAACGTCGTCAAAATATCATGGAAAGATAGGGCTACATTGCGAGTTTCAGTTCAAAAAATGGATGTTACCTAAATATGATTCATGGAATGTGTATGCTAATACCCTCGAGCCTGTACTTCCTGCATCTATAACTACTGCATATACTGGCTTATGATATCCTAAAAATTGCTTTGCTAATTGGTCCACTATGCGATTTCCAGCATACCATGGAATTTGGTCTGTATATAGAACTAAAAATTGAAAATATAATAATTACCACTTGAAATTATGTACAATAATAAAATTTATACCTAGAAACAGGGTTAACAATGTTCCACTTACGATTAAACATAGTAATGAAGTCTGGATTGAACTTGAACGAACCCCTTTCACTTTGCGTTTTCTTGCATTCCCTCTTTCACTAGGTTCTTTTAACTTCAAATGAAAATTATACATTTAACAATACATTACATTTAACAAATATTTAGAACATACAACATTAAAAATTATAATTGCTTTCTATTGTTTAAGGATAGTTAAAAAATATAAAGTAGGCCGCACACTTACTTTCCTTCGCCTTAGTTCGCTATTACTCATTGTTCTTGAATCTGTTGTACACGTCGCACCCTTTTATTTGGTGCACTACTTCAATACTTGCACAATGTTTTAATTTTTTATCCTTGAAAAAATGATTAGATTACTAGATGATTGTGAATTATTTTTCTAACGTAGTAAATCAGGTTCTGTGCTGTTTATTTATGAATAAACATTTTTATTTAATTAAAATGATTAGATTTTATCTGGATAAGATCGTTTTGTTATTACACAATTGCATGAAATGGTAAGGACAGTTCACAGAAAATCCTCACCTACAGTGATAAAAGAATTCATAAATCAAATATGATTTCTAATTTCTGTAATGCCTTCTGTCTCTTATTCAATACGATTCATTTTGTATTCATTTGTCATTTGTTTGTGAGTTTGTTTGTATGTATTGGAAGTTCTTCACATACAAATATTTAAATGATTTTCAAGGAAAACTTTTCATCATAAAATAATAAATTATGGTTTCATCTCGAGTTTTCATATTTTCATATCAACACGTCACTTTCATGTCACTTTTCCATTTTCTATTTTTTACTCTTTGGTCCTGTGGGCCTGTTCTGTCAGAGATATCTGTCCTCTTTGTCATGATTATAGTCATATACATACTGCCTACAGTGCCTACCCAGCAATTTTTAAAATAAAAAACGATGCATTTTTGAATCCGTGTAAATAACAGAATAACACATTAGAGTTATGCATAGGATCTGTTGGAACACCGCGTTAATAAAGCTTTTCTAATCTGAAAAAACTCCGGACGTAGATGTAAAAGAATACGTTTTTTGTGCGTAAATAAATCATTTTTTACGCACCTATTCCTATCTGAAAGTCTGCTGAAGCCCTGAAACAGTTGCCACTGAAAGCATAAATTTAAGGGAAAAAGTAGATAAAATGTACAAGGAGATGTCACTCATGTCATTAGTCGGCCCGTCAACCACTAACATATGATTTCGGATTTCGTTGCAATCCGTTTGTTGATATGATTATTCAGTGACGTGTCCAAGTTATTTTTCAAATAAGTAATTTCAATATTTTCATGTTTCAATCTAATATCGTTATCGTTTTCCTATTTTATTATTAATTATACAATAAATTTACTTGTTTTACCATAAGGTGACTGACTATAACTTATGTTCTATATAATTTAGAAATGCAATGCTTCCCAGAAGACGTCGTACGGGTTCAGAAAATGAAAGTATAGATACTTATAACGAGGGCACTTGGTCTAAATCTAATAAATTTAATCAAATAAACAATTTGTATCCAAACAATGTCTCTGAAAGTTACTATTTAGAGGATTATATTGAAGATTATACGGAACTTGAACCAATCATGACTGCTAGAGACCGTACTGGTGAATTTGTGAACACAATTCAAACTTTACAAGTAAATTTAATCTTACATTTTGTAAATAAACATCTCCTTGATTTTCTTTATAGGGCAGAAATATTGCTAGAGCCGTTTATACAAAAGATCCAAAGAGATCAAAAATAATTCAAGGCCATTCTGAGTTTATGTTGATTGCAAAAAATGTGGGAAGAAATATTGCAAGCACATACGCAAAGCTCGAGAAATTAACATTATGTGAGGCGTCAAAAGGTTTAAAATTATAGAACTAATATTTTAGCTTTCTAGTGGCAAAAAGGAAATCATTATTTGACGATCGCAGTGCCGAAATTCAAGAATTAACTTATATAATAAAGGGAGATTTAGGCAGTTTGAATCAACAAATTGCGCAGTTGCAAAGTCTATCTAAACAACAGAGAGATTCTAGAAATGGAAAACACTTACAGTCTCATTCCAGCAATATAGTTTTAGCTTTACAGTCGAAACTAGCTACAATGTCCACCGATTTTAAGCAAATACTAGAGGTCAGAACGGAAAACTTAAAACATCAGAAAACAAGAAGGGAACAGTTCAGTCAGGGCGGACTGCCACCACCGTCGGCCAGTGTAGGCCAATGTAAATTAAGCCTCATTATCAAAGAAAAATAATAATTTTCAATCCTTTTAGCAAATATATTATTCCAAGAACATGATCAAGTTAATGTCAATTTGGAAAGTCGACCCCTGCTCCCATCACAAACACAAATGCAGGCGGCGTTGATGTACGATGAATCAGATAATTATTTACAAAATAGAGCAGAAACTATGCAAAATATTGAGTCAACAATTGTTGAGCTTGGTGGCATATTTCAACAGCTAGCTCATATGGTAAAAGAGCAGGAAGAAATGGTAATATTATATTTTTCCTTCTTATTGGAGATTTTAGCTGGATATTAATTTTAGGTTGAAAGAATCGATACCAACGTCCAAGATGCTGAGCTGAATATTGAAGCAGCTCATACCCAGATTTTGAAATATTTTAAGTCAGTGTCTTCAAATCGCTGGCTCATGATTAAGATTTTTGGAGTACTAATTTTCTTTTTTATATTCTTTGTTGTATTTTTGACTTGAAAATTATAATTAATTGCATAAGTATATAGTTATCTCAATATTTCTTTTTTTTTTAACAAAAAGTATATAAGTAAATAAGTATAAGAAAGATATAAAATATAAAGTTTATAAAAAGTATATGTCAATCATCTATAAATTAAAACTGTGATAGTAATCTAATAAGATAGTAATTTTAATTTATCTAAATATTTAAACAGAGAATTAATATAATATTTGAAATGAATACTTTACAGTAATTTTTCAGGTATCTTGTTTTTGATACCGTAGAGGTATAAAATTAAAATTATTCAAGTTCACCATAAATAACAGAAATAATTGCTGTTGTTATTTCTAATGAACAATTTAAGGCCACTTTAGTGAAATATGGAAGATGATGATGCAGTCTAAGGGCTTGAACACACTGACGACCAGGTCGCACCGGCCAGGCCGCTGCTATACCTCTAAAACCAATAAATTAAATGGTACTCCGCACGCTAACGTCCTGGCCGTCCGTTGGTCGTTGCGACAGTAGACTGCACTAAAATATTATTATTTTCTGCCGCTTGTTGCCGGTTTTCTTCCAAATTAATAATTTTTCAGATGAAATCCCTCAAATTCAACGCACAATATTTTATTTTCTATAAAATATAGTGTTTTAGTGTAGTTTTTGCACACGTGCAGAAAATCCAAAGAAATAGTATACAGACTGGATCAAAGGGAAACTTAAATCTAGTCCCTTTTTTTATCAAGGGTCAATTCTAGTAAAAATTCAAAACATTTTTATATGACTCTATTTATGGTTGGTACCTGTTATTATACCTTCGAGTTTCGATGTTAAAAAATAAAAAAAATAATATTTAAAGTTTTTCTACAACCACTTGTTTTTTTTATTAAATTATTTTTTTTAGTTGTATTGTAGTCATGTACAAGGAGGACAACTGTATTTTAAATATTATATTTAATTTAACGTTTTTCAAACAGGGTTAATTAGACTATATTTCTCTTTGAATAAGAAGACTAAGGAAGGAGCATATCAAAAATCTTAGGTACACTGCGATGGGCCTCAAATATGGCTGACTTAAATTCCGGTTTATCAGTGTCGTTGTAATTTTATTTAAAAAATGTAAAACTATGATGTAGGGTAGACGTGGGGTAGACTCAATAATTTGTTGTTTTATTTTACGTTGTGAATAAATGTTGGTAGTTATTAAAATTGTTATAAAAATATATAATTCTAATAAAAATAGATAAGTTATAATAAGTATTTATTAACACAAACATCCGATACGCTACTGAAGCAGGTAAGTCAAATTAACGTATCTAAATTCTTTGACATCTAATCTTTGACAAGTAATAGATAAAAGCTAAAATGCAAGAAAATATATAATTTAGTTAATTTAAGTGAATTTCATAAATGATCGGTTTACTACACATATGTATTATATAGTCACTTACTAGCGAAAAGTTGTTCCATTATTTCACTCAATTTTGCCAAGACCTACCGCACGCTACACAACCAACTATTTTAGAGTCTTTTTCGATAAATCGCGATAGTGTCACTGTTAATTTAAGTTCTGCCACAATTTCCATCTAGATTTACTACCTTTATACAACTATCAGTAGTAGAATAAATAATAAATAACATAAAATAAGCTCCGTAAAGACTGACAAATCCACAAAATTTCAAATCAAATTCAAATGTGTCAAATGAATCGTCAAACAGAACTGTCAAGGATCCCCACCCTAGAGAGCTTTTATGGTGGCTTTTCCGCCCACCATGCATGAATACATGGATAGCATTATGCTCCTTCCTTAGTCTTCTTATTCAAAGATATTTCTACTAGGTACATTATTTTAAAAAAAAATTAAGAGTAAAAGTAACTTAAACATTCATAAAAATAGAAGTAATTACTGTTGTAGATTTTCAGTAACAATAAAAAAGAGGAATTTATATTGTAAACATTAAAATAACTGGAAGCTAAACTTTCTACCTGCTTATATTTAGAGCCAGTCGATCTGATATGGACTTCTACTGATGGCTCTTATCAGTAGAAGTCCATATCAGTAGAAAATAGAAACAGAATATCTCCCTTTTTGTCGGTCGCGCGTACGAAATGCTTTTTGTTCGGCCTATTTGTTCTGCTTGTTCGTGCGCGCTCGGTTCGTTCGGGCTAAAATGCTCAAGTCTGGACGCACCTTTAGAAACAATTCTATTTTTGTCCTTTATTGATATAATGCTGAAAATCTCTCGAGTAACATGTCTCACTCTACACATATTAAATTACATAGACGTAGGATGTAGAATATTCTGTTATGAAACGACTGATGGAATAGCAGGCATCGCGGATTTGAAAAACATGGAAATAACGGGGTTGGAGATTTTACTTGCTCCATTTACCACACCAGCATTTAACGAAAAATCCAAGAATATTTTAAATGCATCGTAATATTAGAACATTTAATAAAGTCATGAATAGCAACTTCGCTTTTTAGTTAACTCGGATATTTTAACATTTCTGAAACAATATTTTCTAATTGGTAAAACGTAAAAAATTGTTAATCTGACAACTCTGTTGAAACTGGTCGTTCATCTGGCCGCAGCTATAAACGCAATGCATCCGGCCAGCCGACGCGACGGCCAGGTCGTTGCGACCTGGTCGTCAGTGAGTTAGAGCCCTAATGAAATACGGATGATGGTCTAAGATGTAAAAGAGAAGTAGATATAAAAGAAAAGAGAAATTACTTTTAAAAAAGATATCAGCTTGAAAGCGAAATTTCAAATACATAAACACAAGCTCAAAAATTAAAAAATGCTCATTGATTTCTTTTACAGTTTTCTGAAAATGAAGAAACAATACTCCATTTTTCCAAAACAAGTTTAATGTGAAAATAAGCCTGAATCATCCTCTATATTAAAATAATATTTTTAAAATTTATATCGCCACATATCTACAGAGTGAAAAATCTTGAAACATCCTAATCTTAGTCCAATATTCGGTAATACAGCTTTTATCAATATACAGTAGCCGCTCGCCCAAGTAGCATTTTCACGACTTGCGACCACATGTTTACTAAACACAACGTTGGATTAGTTACAAAAAATAGTTAGCTCCGTACCTCGGGTATTAAAATAAATGTAAACGTTGTTGTAACGTTGTGCCGACTCCTGCAACTCCCAGTGGACGATATGCCAAGAACGTACAACTTTGACAAACATGTCAATGTAGTATTGAGCAATAAGAAGGATTGGAAGAGCGAAACGCTTGCCCAGCAGTTAAAAGACCATACCATAACTTGGTATACTGATGCTTCCAAAACCAATATGGGGAACAGGGATCGGAGTGTTTGCGCCGAGAGCTAATTACTCCGAACCAATGGGCACTTACCCTAGTATCCTACAGGCAGAAATCTACGCTATCGAGAGATGCGTACAACTTATCTTAGATAGGAACTATCGGAAACAAGAAATAGCCATCTTATCTGATAGTCAAGCAGCGTTAAAGGCGATCAACTCAGTATCAATCAATTCGAAATTGGTCAAAGAATGCATAGAGAAGCTGAATAAATTAGGCAAAGAAAACAAAGTCCTCCTACACTGGGTGCCTGCTCACCAAGGGATAGAAGGCAATGAAAAAGCAAATAATCTAGCTAGGAAAGCAGCGAACACTCCACTAACTGAACCAGAACCGTTCTGCTTTCCAAGTGGTAACCAACTCAAGGCGGAACTCAAGAACTTGGAAGATTCCATCCGCAACCTGGAATGGAAATTTTCCAATGGTCTAAGACACTCGAAGAAGTTTCTGAGGGCTTATGATGAAGAAAAATCACAGATCTTCCTGGGTCTGAGTAAGAACAATCTTCGGATTGTCACGGGGTTTTTAACAGGACACTGTCTCCTCAACGAACACCTCAGTAGATTGAAACTAAGAAGAAACGGCGAATGCAGATTCTGTGGGGAAGATGGGGAAACACCAGTACACCTCATCACTGAGTGCGCCGAGATGACAACCATTCGTGCCATGAATTTTGGTACGACTGATATTGGAGATGGAGAACTACCCTCTATAAAACCGTCCCAGATACTGGCTTTTGTCAAAGCCCTGGGACTGTATGATGAGTTATGATTCAAGAAAGAGGGACACAATGGATCTGTAAGGTCGAAGTGATTAACCCCCCTCCCACTCATTCTAAATTCTAAAAAAAAATTCTAACGTTGTGCCGACGTTGAACTAGTACTACAACAAAGTAAAAGCTTCTGCGACGTCGAATAAACGTTGTAATGTAACCTTTTTTGCTTAAGTGATCTTTAGGTGATTCGGACAAAGTAGTTACAATGTTGGGCAATTCCTATTCCAACGTTATGCAAACGTCGTCTGTTTTACTAATTCCAACGTTGTTTAGATTTCCTTATTCTTACGTTGGTAGGACGTCGAGCCACTACCTTTTTGCAACTGTATTGAACCATAACCTTACATCTTAAATTTTCACTTCATTGTTCTGTTCAGTCAGACAGTTCAGTGCTGTTTTAAACTAAAGTGCTGATAAAACTAAATTTAAATATACATCGACATATTACCGATACTTTATGCGCCGGATGGTTGGAAACCAATCAAAAATTTCTGTGCGAACGCGTTTTACCCTATTGCGCATGATTATCTGTTGGAAATATGTTTCTTACAGCTGTGAGAACAAGCCTTTATGACTCTTAATTTCGGCACTGTCTTTGTCAGCGCTATTGTGAGTATCGTCGGTATAAACGAATTAAGAAGCCCTGTAATTCCAATTGACTTCGTAAATACTATAACAAATGATGAAAAGGTCTTTAATTTTAGTACCATCACGCGCCAAGGATAGTGTTGTAGTCGCTTCGAAACGACAAGTACGTCAACCCCATTATTGAAACTGTCAGCTGGACGTCATTTTAATATTTGGAAAACGGAATTTTTTCGTCTTGCAAATTATGCTTTGGCAAATTAGCTCTGTTATCCATGATTGCGATCGTCATTTCCAAGCCAGCTAACTCGACAATACAGTATAGAATAATTTTGATACATTAAAAATTTGTATAGTATTGAATAATCACCAAAAAAATTCTGATATAAACAGACATCGATTTTCATTCCTAATTCAACTCTACGTCGTTTTTTTTCGATCATATGATATATTTTCATACGTATACGACACGACCCAACTGTAGTCAACCAAAAAAAAAACTAAAAATGAGGTGAAAATGTATGTATTTCACAATAATTGCAAAATAGGTATTGAGAGATAATCATGACATACTACAAATATGGCGTAGCTGTATCTACGTC